CATATTCGTACAATTGCCGGCACATCAGCAGCTTACAGTAACATCGCTAGGAGTATATGCATAAATCTTAGCTAATACCTTTAAGTACGCATTTAAACATTTCACAATTCCACATAGACGTGGCATTCTCAGCTCTGGTTAGGAAGAAGAGCTTAAGTCTCGAAATGTCCTAGAAAGCTATCGTAAGCTATCGTATAGCCAATTTGTTGAAAGCTTAATGCATATTTGTATATATACAAATTTATGTATGAATGCTGTTTATTTATATTTCAAGCACACACTAACACAGCTCTGAATAGTGCAACAAACATCAAATAAGTCATCTAAAATTTTGTTAGCAAAGTAAAGGCATAAGTTCGCTGGAGAAATATATTTTAGCCAGTGAGCGTATGTGGGGGATTACCAGCTCCTCAGTTTGATTTTTGCTATTAGTAACGAAAGCACCGACAAAGCTACTGAGGGTGACGTTCATGCAGAGCTTTCACTGGCGTTTCTGGTAAATAAGTGTAATAAATTAGCTTATTTTGACTACAGTTACTCTGTATACATATTTAATCGCATCTATATGTATGTATGTGTAAATAAGTAGGGTATTATTCATAGCTAGAAAGTATCGTTAACGCTCTTATGACCAAGGAGAGTCGTTTTGCATTTGTATCTATATTGTGACATAAATTTTGTGCCACGTTCAGCTTTTGTTAACCCTTTGTCTACCGGTTGGGTCCAATGGATCCGAGTGAGATTTTATTGTGTTCCCATATCAATATATATGATGCTTTTAAGCTCCGTAAATCCCTTACCTTACATTTTTTTCACGTGTTGTGTAGAATAAGAGGACTGATTTGATAAGAAATTTGTGCAACAAGTTTTTCTGTACAACCAAACAGAGATGAAAACCTTTGGGTAGCACTGCACCAATTAAGGTCCCAACATAATTTTTATCTAAGGTCATTTGAGGGTTAAAGCATGCCGCAAGCTTTGAACTGAAAACGAAACTTGAAATGCAGAAGAAGTTCAGTAAGAGGCTTAGGTATCACCTAATAAAAAATAAATTCCAATTAGAAAGTTAATGTAATTAATATGCCTTCAAGTGCTCTTCCAAAGCCTCCTTAAATGGATGAAAACAATTCCTATGCCAGTTTATTTATCTTGACATGAACTATATTTACTACTAGCTTAGATATTATATATTAATTATCTCTAATAGAGACCGGACACAAGCTGCCAAGCTGCTATTGGTGTAGAGCTAGGTTGGGATAGGTTAGAGTGTCTGCACATATGTACGTATGAGTATTACGAAGGCTTTGATAAGCTGACTGTTTCATTTTAATTTTCTTTGGTAAGGTGGTAAGGCTTCTCATTACGAATGACACACTCTCCATATGGCAAGTAGAGTAGAGTGGTAATGCTGCTGAATATACGCCATCCACCTAACTATTTACTAAGGATTTGGGGCATAGAGACAACCAAAAGTGATTTCTGACGGAGACGTCTTGCCTTAGTATCTACTTCCACAAATTTCAGCAACAAGATAATACTGTAGAGTGTGAGCGCATTCACCTATTTATACCATAGTATTCCTGTACTATGACGTTTCCCATGAGCACTCTTTGTTGATCACCACCAGTGGGCAAAATAATTATTCTCACTAATTTGCATTTTATACTTGATTACGATGCTATCTTACACATTCCCAAAACGTATTCTGAAATGTTTTGATTTTTATCTTACATATCTTAAATAACAGTTATTGAAGACTTTTACTTATAAAAGTCATTAATAAAAATCTGTCACCGACTTTCATTTTTCAAGTCATACGCATAAAAGTCATTATACTTCTTCGCAGTTTAGAAGGTGTTGGAGAACCAAATTTTACCAAGACTTATGCAAATGACTTTTGTATTTATGATTTTGAAAATAAAAGACAGTGACTGATTTATATTGATGACTTTTATAAAGAAGTCTTCAATAACCGTTATCTAAGATATATAATTTTAAAATCAAAAATAACTGTTATTTGCAGATTATTTAGATAAAAATAAAAAAATAATTTTTATTTTGCATTTACAAAATAAAAATCTGAACAACTGTTATTTAAGGCGTAATTAAATAAAAGTCAAAAAATGATTATTAAAGATCGATTTTTATATTAAAGTTTGTAACTGTTACGGTCCTTGGTCAGAACGCAGACTATTTGTATCCATAAAATTCTTTGTAACCTTTGTGCCCGACAAAGATTAGTTCATTTAAAACATCTGTAGTCCTATAAAGGAAGCCTCAGTTATCTATTTTAGATATTCAGGATAAGGGACTCTCTATACGAATACAAAAACATGTCAGGTCGCATATTTAGTTAGCTCATAGGTCAGTCAGCACAAATACCCACATATTGCGGCAAAATATTAAACATTGCTTTAGCGATTATGTAAATGTTTATGTGCTTCTGAATAGGAAAGAGACGGGTACTTCGAAAGAGACACAAGTTTAATCTTATGATTAAATGTTTCAATGTACTGGTACAAAAATATATTTACTTAAGGGTATTCCTTAAATGTGTCAAGCATATTTTTGCATCAGATTTCCTAAACCTCAACCCCTACGTCGATGCTACTATAGTTGAAGTTATTACATATAAATGTTGGCCCCGATTGGAGTCGGCTAAGACGTGTCGCACCGGGGTCAAAGTTCAGACTACCCTAGGAAGACGTCTTAACCGACTCCAATCGGGACCGAAATCTACATTTGATATGACTACGGTAGTTTTGATTTTGAGTATTAGATTTAAAAAAAAAAATTTATTTTAATTTTTTGAGTCTCTATAGAGGAATCTGTACTCTTCTCCCTGTGCGACATGCCTTAACCGTCTCCAATAGGGACTAAAATGTATATGTGATACATGTGGCATTACTGATGGAGGGGGTGAGACTGAAAAAATCATTCATTTGATTTTTTAAGGACCACTCTAATCTACATAAGTATGTATAGGCACTACCAATAAAATCATAAAATAAACGCGGAATAATACAAAGTGGAATTGTTGGGCTGAGTAGTTGGCTGTGTGGTATTCATCAGTCCGATAGTGAATATGTATCTATGTACATATTTCCATTTTTGAGCTATGTCCATTGTGGTGTAGTGGTTAACAGTGTGCGCTACCGTTCCGCAGGACCTGAGTTCGAGCCCAGTTTCCGACCAACATAAAAATATAAAAATAAAAAAAAATTTTCTCCGACTGTATTTTTGCCACAAAAAACCGCTTCTTATAAAAATTCATCAAAGGGCACGTCACGAATCGGAGAAAAAAGCTCGGCCAAACACTATCTAAATAACACATTGGTTAAGCGCCAATCTAAAACAATTATTATTGTTCGCTTTGTGCAAATCAATTTTTGCTAAAAATAATTGGAATAGCTGAGCATGCATATGCACGAGTAGTTATGTTTACATAAACAAAAAACCCCCAGGATAATAAAGTTGAATATACATATATTGAACAATAATTTCACTTACTGATGCTCCGTAATTGAATTTGTACGTGCACAATAAAATATAACAAGGATTCAATGCTCAAAATATTGAAAACAAATATCGCTATTTCTGCATAGTTTTGAGTGAGGCGAGGAGAGTAAGAAAGAGAAGGTGGAACAGAAACAGTACGCAAATATACAACCCCTTAACAGAAATAAGAGGATGCTATTTCAAATAGGCATTAAGCTTAATTGAATAAATAACTACACATCGAAGGTCGTCTACAATAACGACACAACTCAAAATTTCATATATTTCAGCAGAGCTGTTTCGTGATTTAACAATAATATGTCTTGGAACGTAATTATTACCGATTATTTGCAGTCACTCTGTATGGGAAATTTGTAAGCTTTCAAATTATGATTTTTAATTTTTTTTTTGAAGATTTAGTAGGTGCTGGGCTGAAAAAATACGAAATAAGTAGAAACTCCGAAGTAACGAATATAACACCACTGGTATATCTGAACAACGGCACAAAACGAAAATAAATAAATTGCTAATTGTCTTACTGAAAAGCATCACTCAGCTATCGACAGGTTATTGACTTATGCCATTATTCACGATAAATATGAGAGATGTGCCATGGTTCAGCAGTAAGGGTTGCCTGCTTCGGTTTTGTCACAAATGGCAAATTCTGGCAATTCTTTAAAAAGAGATGCCCACAGCTCCAAGCCCTAAATCGAATAAGAGAACTATCTAGAAGGGTCACTCATGCCACCTCCCTCAATCGAACTGCACCTTCTAAGTACATATAGAAGTGCCGATAAGGCACACCTTTTGCTAGTTGTTTGATTGCTTTCCAGAATACCCTTAGGTCGAGGCCACGCAATGAGCGGCAAAGCGGTGAGCGGCTGAGCGGCTTAATTAAAACATATGAAATACTATTGAAGGGGACATGCTCTGAGCGGTAGGTCAATAGAGAACAGTCTAGACATTGACATATGTATGGCTGAAGCTTACATAAGGATATTTTATTAATTTCGCTTATTTTTTTCATCAAAAAAAAAATTGTCACGCACATACAGTTTCAATAAGTTTTTCTAACAACTCACAGCGCGAGTGATGAAAGCATACGTACCTACATTAGAAATGTTTTGCTTAATACCGCTACCATAAAACTGAGTAGCCATCTGTGGCTCTTGAATTGGACCCATGTGACAAACACTGCAATGAATGCTGTGGGAATAAACAATATTATATGTTTTCATACGGGCATTGATATTGGAAAAAGCTAATACAAATAAGCGCATATTTACTAATCAAAAAATCTCATTTATTTACTTAAATAAAATCATGTGGTAACATATGCGTTCAAATGTACATACATAGGTACCCCATATGCATATTATAATAATAGACTAGCTCTTACCCGGTGCGCTTCGCTACACCTAAATCGATTAAAACTCTTAAGGGTTTTTACTTTGTGTTTTATTTCTTGTTGTAAAACTATTACTTATTTATATAACATTTTGTTATACAACATCTTTGGTTTTTCCACCTGGCGCGTAAATGAATAAGCACCTTGGTGTTCCCACTCTCGAACATGCGACATACAATTGGCCGTGGGAGAAGCACGGTTCTTCCAAATTGACGCCGCACACTCGAAACGTTTGCCCTTGCGATTTGTTGATGGTCATCGCAAAGGCAAGACGTACTGGGAACTGCAAGCGCTTAAATTCAAACGGCATGTCCGTTGGAATCATTGGAATGCGTGGTAAGAGTACCACTTCACCTGCTGCCTTGCCATTTAGTATGGTTGCTTCAATCAAATTTGGAAACAATTTTTTGACTGAAAGTCTTGTGCCATTACACAAAGTCGGTGGCTTCAGATTTCGTAGAAGTATAATAGGTGAACCGACTTTCAGGACCAAACGATGCGGTGGCAGACCGGGGGGATCCAAAGAATTCAAGAATTCAGTTGGATAATTGACTACTTCATCTTGATTCAAAACGCTATCAATCGATGTATATGTTGTAGCTTCTCCTGGCAGTTTTTCTTGAATGACAAAATTGATTTCGTTGACGTGTACATTTTTCGGTGCCATTATTGCGCGTTCACTTAATTAATCATTGCGTTGATAGTGTTGAACAATATTCGGAAATACACTTTCAATCAATTCTTCTTTCGATTGTAAAAGTGTACAAAAGTTGTTCTGCAATGTGATCAAACCGGTATCATCGATTGGTATTTTGCCTTCGCCAATGTCCAACAACTGCTTCGAAAACGCCGCTGCGGATCGATCATTTTGCAATTGGACTCGCATGTTGATGGTAAGAGTCAGCCTTTGAACATGTCTCCACAAAACTGACGATTTTAAACATGCGAATAAATGTAGCAAATCGATTGAATTAAATCTGGAAAAAACACACAATGTTGTTGTCAATGTTTTTTAATAAATGTAAACATTCGCCAGCTGTTTCTGTTTATTTATTAGTAAAAGGCAGGACTGCCAATCTTGCGGCAAAACAATAACAAAAATCCAAAAAAACACGTAAAGCCAAACAGAATTAATTGCAAAACGTGCAATGATACACACATTAAATTTCTTATGTGCACCCTCCACACAGACCCCAATCACCCCTGAAAATTTCATTGATATCGGGCAAGCCGTCTAGGAGGAGTATGCGAACAGGAAGTTTTGCCACTTAATTTTATATATATAGATTGGTGCTTGGACATAGGTTAGTGTTTGGCCGAATTTTTCATACGATTTGAGGCGTGCATCTTGATGTTGTCACACAAAGGGGAGGAACCTACAGTATATGATGTTGAGTGTATACGGAGAATTACAGTGCGACAATTTATCTGCCCTAGCAGATCTAAGCCCTGGCACTTTTAGGTGCTACGCTAACTACCTACGCGTATTTTGGTTAAAAACACACACATATTTGCGTGCAAACATAAATACATATTTTTATGCTTACAAGACTTGAGATTTGTATACGAATTATTTTAGTTTATTTTTTCTTGCATTTTATTGTATAAGCATATCACCACAAAACGCTTAAAAGGTCACTTTATTGTTGAATTAATAATCGCCTTTGCATTTCGTTGTTTCGCATTCACTTACCTTTCATGCTTACATATGTAAACTCTTATATATTCTTACGTAAATACATGCACACAAACTCACAAATGCAAAGCCACAACCCAGTACGGCGTAGCTCAACCAATTACCTCAGAAAAATTAATTTATTTCTACTCGTGTAGCAACTAGCTTCAAATTGATGTATAATCATTTAGCTGCCTCATTGAGCTAGACCAAATGCTTACACTTTTGAAACACACATATCTTTGTAAATAATTCAATATTAGTTGAAAAATTACCTAACTTTAGGCAATTAGCTATTTCTGCATTTAATACTAAGTAATTTTAAATTGGTTGAAAAGACATCTGCAAAGGAAACGTACGGACTTTGAAGTGCTTTAAGCCAAATGCATTTTAAAGTAGTTGAAATTAAATGCAGAATCGTATAGTTGATAGATATCTAGGATATCGCCATGTTAAAGTCAATAGTTCGTTCCAAGGAAGAAAGTCAGATCTTCAAATAGTTGTGGTGTGTAAAAAACTGTTTGAACATCGATATTTAAATTAGTTTCTTTCCCTACTGGGAATTTAACCAAGTAGCTTGTGGGAGCTTACATACATACATACTTATATATGTAGTTGTTTTGCAGTAATTGACTCGCCAACTACATTCCCTTGCGGCTAAAATTAATGAATTCCCTTTCAATTAGTGAATTAAGTTATTTATGTAAATAAAAACTACGTTGCGTGTATTTTTGGGTGGATGTGTTGGGTTTGAAATGACTTCGGAATCGGTAGTTTATGCAACTTAAAGTTTTTTAACGTGTATGACCGTAACACACAAGACCAAATAAAAATTTTCGTGGAAATTTTTACAGGAAAACTTTTCTATCTTTAGTGATTTTTTGTCATTTCAGCTGGTGGAAACTGGCAGATAACATTTTTCCTCTTGTCCTCGAATTATTTGTTTGCATATAAAATAAATTTAAAATGCACACTTCTCAGTATGTATTTAACCCGCCATACCTTTAAACGCTGTGTTAAAATATTTCTGAGTACCGATTTTTTTTAACATTCTAATCGACTACGCTACTTGTGCGTGGATTTTCAATCTGACCCCCACCTTATACGAGTCGTTTGAAACCTATTAACTTTTTTCTACACTTGTCAGACGCAGGGAAACGCTTATATAATTCAACACATGTTTTCCCCCAATTTTTAAATATTCTAGAACTAATTTTGAATTACACTAGTCACTTCATTGCCCATGCCAGACTTTTAACTCGCAACCGTTAAGTTTAATAAAACAAAAATATATCGATTAACGACAGTCATGGTGATAGATGGAAAATATACAACTTTTTAACTTGGAAATATAAATACTAAGGATTATTATTTATGCTTTAAAGAATTTTATTTACAATTTTGTAAATTTTTGGTTTTTCAGCTCCTTCTTTCTTCATTTCGCAAACACAATTTTCCTACCAATGGAAAAAACCCACGAAAAACGAAGAACCACAATTAATAGAAAAAACATACAAATACCTATCTAAGTACATATATACATATGTGTAAGCTATTTTACTAGATGGATTATTTGCATAGAAACAAGGCGAACCAGCTGGCGATAGTTCAAAGAAATGCAATTTAAGTTTGATTTACATAAATCAGTTTACTTGGCTATGGTGTGGCGCTGTTATTAAACATGTAAAATTAGGCAAAATACTGCAAAGGATTAAAAAAATTTCAATAAAAAATTAATAATTTTTTTCATATTCCTGCAATAGTTTGTACAAATAAATCAAATTATTTTTCTACAAAAAAAAAATTATTTTTTCGTAAATTTATATTAAAAATTACTTCATTTATCGACATGTGCACGCGCCATATTTGCGGATTTATGAAAAACCTCAGTTACTAAAAATAATAAAGCGCACACAGCTCGTGGCATTCATGTCTGCAATCGTCACGATGAAAATGTGTAAAAGTGGAGCTGGAATGCAGATATTTTGATTGCGGTTTTTGTGCGAGTTACTGATTGGCAATTAAATTTTTTAACGCAAACCACACCATGATATCTATTTGCAAAGGTCGAATTCTGGGCAAGTGTGGTGTGACGTGGATTTTTTCGTATTTGGTTTGCTATTGTAGTCTAAAAAGTTAAAATGCGAATGAAAAACAAGAAAAATGTGATTGCATAATTTGAAAAACAATTTGAAATTTGGGCTAAAGCAAACAAAACTGATTAAAAAATTTTAAATACAGGAGATTGTGTTTTAATTTTCTAATAATTATTTAATTTGTACTTAACTGAACAGGTGGCTTTGCAAAATTTTTATTTGAGCAGAAGGATTTACGTATATATGAAATACGTAATATTAATTCCCGCTATCTTGCCGTCAGCAAAAAAAAAAAATCATTAAAAATCAACGAATTAAAAAACCGATCTAACTGTGTACTTAAATTTTTTTCTGAAAATTCAGATTAAAAAGGTCAAAATTTAAACGAAAATGCGTTGAATTTTTCTAAGTTCTGTATAAAGTTTGAAAATTTGACTTGTATGATTTTGATTAAAGCATGAACCATATTTAAAAAAAAAATAAAAAAAAATTATTTTTTGAAAAGATTGCAAATATTTAACAAAAAACACCATGCACTCACTTATGATTGCCAGTGTACATATGTACAAAATACGGAATATTTTCGCACCACTGCATTGCCATCTAAACGAATAAGTTCCTCGCACGTACATATTCCCACATTCACGTGAATCTCCATTCCTGCTGCTCTGCCTTAATAAACCAAATTAAATTTCACTGAAAAACTTGTCGGAACTCAAAGCAACACGCAAAGAACTTGTTGCTTGTTACTTTGCTTACGGTATTGCTAGCTGACTTGTTTACAAATAGTTCGCTTGCTTACCTACATACATAGATACTCGTATTGAAAAGGTAAATTGCGCTTAGCAATAACTTCCGAATGGATTTCGCAGGCAAAGCAAAAGCAGCAGGTGGTGGCATTGACGCCATTGAAGCGATTAAATATGTATGTATATACATATGTTCAACGTGGACTCTAATGAATCCTGCCTAAAGAAAAAAAGTGTCAGTATATACAAATATATGTATACATACATGCATTCCTATATGAAAGTTAACGAGGAGACCATTAAAGTAGTCAAGCGAACCCTTTAACCCCTTTAACCCTTCTGCAGTGTTTAAAATTTACCCCTCATAAAAGTTTTCCAAATATCAAGAACGGGGTGAGGAAAAACTGCGAAAAAAATCACACATGCACACATCAAAATTTTCTATGAAAAAAAAAAATAATTCTAAAATTTTTCTTTCTTGAAAAATTTTTCACATTCTAATTTTTTGATAAAGAAATTAGTTTTTAAAAATATGCCATCTCAAAAAAATTAAAAAAAAAAGGAACAGTCCAGCGCCTTCGTCTTGGTCTGCAGGCTGTATCGGAGATACAGCCGCTATATTTAAACGTAGAATACGTGGTATGGTTATTGATAACAATATCAATAGAAAAATCGATAAAAATATTGGTAACAAAACCAATAAAAATATCGATAAAAATATCGACAACAAAATCGATAAAAATATCGGTAACAAAGTCGATTATAATATCGATAGCAAAAACGATAAAAATATCGATAACAAAACCGATAA